CAAAAACCTCATCTTACTAATTTAACATACTCAATTAATTATTAAGTCAATCCAAATCTAAAGAGCCTCTTCCATTTTCTTTCATTCTTTCATTCATTCATAGTTTTCATACAAGTATTCCAAAAAGTACATTCTTACTCTATTTAACACAGGGGTAGTCAACCTTGGCTCTTTTATGACTCGTGGACTTCAACTCCCAGAATTCCTGAGCCAGGCTCAGGAATTCTGGGAGTTGAAGTCCACGAGTCATAAAAGAGCCAAGGTTGACTACCCCTGATTTAACATATATATTCTAATAATCACCAATTTTTCTCTTGCTTCTAAGTCTAAATCTTAAACCTTAAATCAGTCCATATTTCTACAGTGCCTTCTAATCCATTACGTATAATTTGTATAATACGTATAGTTCTCCTCCTTGTTCCTCTGTCCGTGCCGGTCCGACAGGCACCCCTGACTTTTATTCAGTCAGGCCATTTGTCAACCCAGCAAGAACAGGTCACGATGGGATTGCAAGCAAGGATCTTGCCGGTCAGAGAAATACCAAGAATCGAACCGGGTATCGTCCCTGCAAGATACATGTTCTCCCTCTGAGCTAAAGCCTTTGTCCCGAAGTATGGATGGGCATGTTATTTACGGATTCTACCAAGTTATGACATTTTATGGAAATGTATGGGGAAAATATATTAGCTGCCAATAAGCTTCCAGGGCAACTAAGGTGTGGTCGTCACCTACGAAGTCCTGGACAGGTAGACTTACAACCTCAGTTGAGCCCAAAGTCTTCATTGCAAGGCAGCTGTTAGGTGAGTTTTGCCAGATTTTATGACCTTTTTTTTGCCTTGTTTGTTAAGCAGATCATTGCAGTTGTTAAGTGAATCATGTGGTCATTAAGCAACTCTGGCTATGTAGGTTACAAATGGCGATCACGTCATCCCTGGACAAGGCAGCTGTCATAAACACAGGCCAGTTGCCCAGCGCCTGAATTTTGACCAGCCTTGTTTCAAACTTGTTTGCTACTCTTGAGTCATGTTGGCAAGGTTCATCTGGATGGATGGATGGGTGTGTGTGTGTGTGTGTGTGTATGCATGTATGCATGTGTGGGTGGGTGGATGGATAAATGGATGTATGGATGTATGGATGAATAGGTGGATGGGTGGATGGATAAATGTATGTATGTATGTATGCATGTATGTATGTGTGGGTGGGTGGATGGATAAATGTATGTGTGTATGGATGGGTGGATGGGTGGGTGAGTGGATGGATAAATGTATGTATGTATGCATGTGTGTATGTGTGGGTGGGTGGATAAATGTATGTATGTATGTATGTATGGATGGGTGGGTGGGTGGGTGG